CGAAAAGCCGGTCCCTTCCCCTCCAATACACACCCCCAGCTCCCCAGCCCCTTACCGAGTAATCCAGAACCCAGCGCTGCTCAACGCCGAGAACAGGTTCACCAAAGCCGACCTGTCGGAGCTCTGGACACAAACCTTGGTGCCACGGGGGAAGCGACGCTGTACGGCACTCTCCAACATGTACCGCAGCTTGGCGGCGCGGCGCTCGTCCCAGATACACTCGCCGTACCTATAGGTACGGCACGTACACGGCCCGAGGTAGCAGTACAGATCAGGGGTATGCGGGTGGGCGGGCAGGTGTGTGTATAGCCGTAGCACGTACACAAAGGGAGAGTGAGAGAGAGGGAAAGGGAAAGGGTGGCCCGGGGACAAGGAGAGAAACCACGTGCCAGACGCAAGACGGCCAACTGTCAACTGTCAAATGTCAACGCCTAAAGCTGCAGACTGCGTGATTCCAGTCCAAGAGGGTTAGAGGGGGAAGTTTACGGGGAAGTGTACGGGACGGCAGCAAATCCAAGGAAACAACTGCCTCGACGTGTTTTCGAAGGACGGCGTTCGGTGTGGGGTGTGGGGTGAGGGGTGTGGGGTGTGTGGGCGGTACTAAGGGCTAACGAGGGCCCATGAGTACATACGGTGCAAGGACGGCAACCGCTCGAACCACAGCGAGCGCAAGGAAAACACATCGACCTGACCGGACTTCCCCTTGTGCCCCCTCACCCCCCACCCCCCACCCACCCCCCGCATGACGCACCCACCGGGGTCGTACGTAGAAGAGCTGGCTGGCGGCATCTCCCTCCGAGTCAATAGTAGCGTGGTAGATGTCGTAATTCATGTCGGCCAATGTGCACACCTGCGCATGTGTGTATGTGTTTCCAAGGGGGGTTAAATGGGGGAAACAACCGACCGAAAGGGGGTATGTATGTATGTACGTATGTACGTATGTACGTATGTACGTATGTATGACTTAGATTATACTGTGGGCCGCGAGAGCCGGGGGCCGAAGCCGAAACACACCGCAAGGGTCGGGAGCACACAGCTCAAGTCGTATGTATGCATGTATGTATGTATGTACGTATGTACGTATGTACGTATGTACGTATGTACGTATGTATGACTTAGATTACACTGTGGGCCGCGAGAGCCGGGGGCCGAAGCCGAAACACACCGCAAGGGTCGGGAGCACACAGCTCAAGTCGTATGTATGTATGTATGTATGTATGTATGTATGTATGTATGTATGTATGTATGTCGAAGCGGCAGATGTTATCACGTGATCCGTGCCTGCCTTCTTACCGTGTCGAAAAAGAGCTTGTTCCGATCCCGGCATTGAATGGTGACTAGCCAATAGTTCAGCAGCGCCGAATGCTGAATGCGCACTTCGCTCCGCCGCAGCTGCGCCAATTGATCATGCGCGGCGCCGTCGGTGCCGCCGACAGTCGCCACAGTCGCCGTCGGCGCCGGCGCTAACGCCGGCTGCCCCGTCACCACCTCATCGCCGGTGACCGTCATCGTTTTACCACTGATTGTACGATGTGGCGGGGCGGCGGCGGTGGCGGCGGCGGCAGGAGGAGCTCCACCGCCGCTCGTCGCCGTCGAGCCCTGCAGTGCATTGGAACTGACGCTGCGCTCCATGCTTCGACCTGACGGCAGCGGCGGCGGCGGCGCCGCCGTCGTCGTAGTGCTACCGTTCGTACTGGCGTAGAGAGCGGGCGAGGAGGGCACCGCTGCCGCCATCGCCGCCGCAGCGCCGAGCACGTCCGCTGGCGGCCCCGTTGTGGAGCGCCGCCGGTCCAGCAATTGCGCCGAGACTTGATCCTTAAGTTGTACGGCAGCAGGCAGGTCAAGGCCCACGTCAATCATGGGCTCCGAAACCATGAGCGGCAGCGGGCCGTCCGTCGACGCGCACCGTGCCATGGCGCCAGGCGGCAGATCAAATGGTCCTGCCGGCGCCGCCGCCGAAAACGGGCCGCCGCCGCCAGCCCCGTCAGCGAGATGGTCACCGGCGGCGGCGGCGGCCCCCAGTGCAGCTGCTTGCGGACATGCCGCACCGCCCTCGTCCGCTTGCGGGAAGCCGGCAGGGGTGTAGCCAGGAACGGCCGATGGCATGCCGACGCTGCCGGAGTGCTCCGCGTGCAGGCCCGGGACGCCAGCGGCGGCGCCGCCGCCACCACCGTGATGCCCGTACAGCATCGGCGAGGGACTTGGCGCGCGCGACGGCAGGCCTGAGGTGGGTGCGCTGGGGCCAGTGGAAGCGGGAAGGCCGACAGACGCGCGAGCGAACATGACGCCAGCGGTGGCGCCACCGCCGCCGTCAGGCACCGCCGCCGCCGCCTGCGGCGGCGGCGGCGGCGACGGCGAGAGGTGCAACGTGCCGTTTTGCGTGCTTCGTTTCGAGGAGGCGTGCGTGGGTGTGGTCGACGTGGCCACGTACTGCTGCTCCCATGCCTTCAGCTCCTCTAGCAGCAGCAGGTGGTGAAGACGCCGCTCGTGGTGGACTTGTCCGCGCACCTGGAGGCCGGGAAAGCAAGGATGATGGTGATGCTGACGGTGATGGTGATGGGGCGACGAAAATGATGGCGCTGTGGGAATGGGGCGAATCGTTGATGCGCTATGTTGATATGCGAATTTAAAAGCTACTGCGTCTGCACGAATCCAACTAGGCGCCGTACCGCGGCGGCACTCCCCACGCCACAGGCCACAGGCCCGTCGGCGCTAACCAATGCTGAAATAAACAAGCCATAACCTCCGCCGCTTTCCGTCTTTCTTCCCCCCTCCCTCCCCCCTCCTGTCAACGCCACGTAGCCGCGATGACCACAAACCAAGTCACTACGGGTCAGTAGCCTTTACATATTGAAGTCCATTACATTATTGGTCTATATCATATCGGGGTATCCGTCCATCTCTGGGTATTATATCCTTTTCTTCAATCGTCTGCGCTTCGTCGTACCCCCTCCCCTTCCCCCCCTGGAGGACTGCTGCTTCACAACCGCCGACTGGTCAGTCCTGCTACCGTCCTGCACATCCGCCGCACTGCAGCACTCTTTCCCCACTTGGCAGCAGCTTCACTTGTTCGCGTGGTTCTCGTCTTTTCCCCCCACCCCCGCACCCCCCCCCTCCTCCCCGTTTACCAGCTCGCTGTTCACCACCGCGTCGCCGCTGCCCAACATGTCGTACAGAATCTGTTCCAGTCGATCCAGTTTCACTGGATCCACCACGGGCGCGCCGCGCTCCGTCGCGCTGATCACCAGCGCCACGCGGTCATGGAAGGTCCACACCTGTGTACGGCAGCGATACAAACGTACAGACGAACAGAGACAGGCGAACAGATCAGTCGGAGGAGGGGTCGAGGGCAAAGCCCATAGAAATATAAACACGAATTTAAATATATGAATATGTTGACACCAAATTTCTAGAAACCAGATCTCCAAGAAGTCCATCGGCGGTGTTCGAGGCTCCAGGGTGGCCAAGCGGGTGGGGGTTGGGGGAAGAAAGGAAACCGTACAGGGGACACACATACGCACACGCACACACATGCTCAACAACAAGAGCAGTTCAACAAAGCTTTATAAATATAGTCCCCAACACTTCACCCCTCCATCTCCCCATGGGCCCCTGCCCCTGTGGCTTCGGCCAAAATGCTGCATTGTGTGTTGGTCTCCCCACCCCAACTGTTATTTTCAGCCTCAACAAGCCCCTAAGGTCCTCTTCCCCAGAAAACAACAATAACAACAACAGCAGTAACAGTAACAGAGCCCTCGTCCCCCTGTCATCGTCCCCCCTCCCCCGCTTGGCCCCCGGGGTAGGGGGGTGGGAGACCGCACCCACCGCCGCCGACAGCACCTCGCATCCGTTCACCACCAGCAGCTGCAACACCGCCGCCAGCAGCCCGTGCCGGTCCCGACCCGCCAACTCGAACACCGTACAGATGTCCTTGTCTAACGGTGTGTATGGGTTGTGTGTTGTGTGTGTGAGGAGGGGGGGCCCGGCAGATGGGCCGGCAGGTGGGGAAGAGGAGGGGGTTTGGAGCTGTGGGTAGTGGAGGCGGCAGGGCGCAAGGGAAAGGGTACAGAAGCGTGCTGAGTAGGTGGGCCCATCCCACCCCTATCCCCACCTACTCTCCCCCGACACCGCCGCCCCCGCACACACCACCTCCCCCCCAACTACTCACCCTTGTAGCTGGCAGAGCTGTCCGATTCCACACTGAGCACCTGATGGGGCATGATGTTGCAGTATGCAACAGCCGGGTTGGCAGATGTGGGTGTGTGAGCGGGAGGGAAGGGGGGAAGGGGGAGCCAGCCGCAGCGGCAGCGGCAGTGGGGGAGGGGCTCCTACCTTGCGAATGATGTTGATCTTGCGCGGGTCGAGCAACTTGCCCTTGGGGGTCTCGGTCACGAAGAACTCTGTGTACGACAAACAACAGATTAAAGTTCAGATTTTAAACAGTCGGTTCCAAGGATGGGAGGGACCTTAGCAGTCGGAACGCCAGCCAATGCAAAGTCAGTTGTTGGTTGGTTGAGCAGACGAGGGAGAGGGAGGGGGAGAGGGAGAGGGAAACCCAGATTAGCTATGTGGGAGAGGGCGAAGATGGTGGCCCAAATGACTCCCTGATGTCTTCCCCCCTAGACGAACCCTATCGTTCAAGGATGGATGGCGGCTTGCAAGGTCTGGTAATGGTGGTGGTGGTGGTGTCAGTATAAATATAGTAGTAAGACGGTTGCAAAGCGGACCCAGATCAGGACCCAGATCGGGATCCAGGTGAGGACCCAGATCGGGATCCAGGTGAGGACCCAGATCGGGATCCAGATCAGGACCCAGATCGGGATCCAGATCAGGACCAGATCGGGATCCAGATCAGGACCCAGATCGGGATCCAGATCAGGATCCAGATCAGGACCCAGATCGGGATCCACATCAGGACCCAGATCGGGATCCAAATCAGGACCCAGGTCGGGATCCAGATTGGGAACAAATCAGATCCAGATCGGGATCTAGAGATCAGGACCCAGATCAGGATCCAGATCAGGACCCAAATCGGGATCCAGATCCCAGACAGAGAGGCGCTATCACCAGGTAGAGCAGCTCGCCCCCCAGCACTGCAGCCTCCATCCCCCCAACTCACCTCAACCCCCTTCCGGGCCGTACCCCACCTAAACACACACTTGCACACATCAACACGCGCACTTACACATACATACATACAAACAAGCTACAGTTCTGTGGGCTTTGCCATGGCCAGTCAATTGTCATTATTGTGGTGCCGAGTGAGGCTGTATACAGCAACACACACACACACACACACACACACACACACACCTATCAGCACTCCATCACACACTCACCGTCCACGAACCAGCCTCCGTCAGAGGAGATCCGTGCACAACGGATGCTGAGACCCAGCTCCGTGAGGCACTGCACCACCTGGGGGGGTGGGGGGGGGAGATACACATACACCGTCATGCGGGAGATACACATCACCCTCCACCCATCCAACAAGACAACGCAGCCACATCCGCCACGTGAGAAGTAGAGTGAGTGAGTCACATGACGGGCAGCTATCACCGTGTGTGTAAGCATATATGTGTGCATGTCTGTAAATGATCTGGGCCACGATGAGGGAAGTGCCGATAGTCGTACATGTACGACTTTCCCAAAGCGAATAGTCACATGTGGCAGTGGCACAGCCAATGGATAACACTTCGCACGCATGTCGCCGTTGGATTTGCATCCCCGTTCATGACCTTAAAACTTATCCGTAATAACAAAGTATGCTATTGCACATGTCCGTATCCTGTTATTGTTGGATGACAATGAGGGCGCTGTGTCATGCACCGCCCCGCCCCTTCTACACACCCCCTCATGTCCTCCATGAGGTCCCCACGCCGCCCCCAACCCAAATCCACCCTCGACATGGGGCTCGCCTCGTCCACCACCCGCCCTGCTGCATTCAAGATGCCTTGTCGGTGTGCGATGCAGCTACGTGTGATGCACACGCGCGAACTGGGTTGACCAGGCATGCCGCAGATTTTCCTTCTCCCGCTCCCGTATCAACAGCGGCGGGGGTAGTGATGAGGGGGCCCCCTAAGAGACCACCAATCATCCTTGCTTCTCAGACCGTCGGCTCCCCGCTTGTAGGCTGCCCCGTACGCACCTCAATTAGCGTCCCCGGCCGATTTGCGCTGTCGATGGTGATAACAGTCATGTCATCGTACGTATCGTTATCAATGACCACATTTGGAGGATGAATACGCAGCTCAAGAGTTTCATACTCGAGCAGTGCTCCTTCTGAAGTTACACTGCTCATTTGTGGGTTCTGCGCCTCCGCCTGCCGATATTCGGCGAAGGACTGCAGACTGCTGCTGCGACGCAGGCCTCCCAGGTTACGTAGGAGAAGGGCGTTCATGGTTCACTTGATGATAATCAGCGTCTGAGTCGTTAAGCTTCTCGCTAAGTATCGAAACCCTGACAATATCGACAAGGGGCAACCGCAAGCAAAGGATTTGCTGTCAAATCAATTCGATTTCGTGCCTCCATTTCCGCATTTCTGGCGTGGCGCTGACAAAAAATAATTCTGGCTGGAAAAATTTGTATGCAACGACCGGGGTGTGTTATTCCCCTAAGCCACACGAATTTCCATTGTGCAACACCAGAAGTGAAAGATGCAAGGATGTATGGTGATCAGGTTGAACCTGTGCACTGGCCAGCGGTCCCAACACGTGAATTTCCTGCACGTCGTACTATTACTTTCTCTCACACAGTATCACTTTTATGTTTTCCGTCAGTAAAGGTTACCTCTGGTGAGATGTGCTTAAAGTTGGATTCCAGAATGATTTCACTTGAGCCCTTCCCCAGATGTTTTCACTTTATGACTAGTTGTTGGGAAGATTGCCTCCAACGAAAATATTACAGCGAATAGATACAGGGATGCAAACATATGAAGCCTCAACCAGCGCAAAAATTAAACAGTCGGCCCCGTCGACCACAGCCATTGGCAGCGAAGAGTCGAACTGGTTGGGTGGCTTGAAACGAATCCACGACCCATAAGACCGGCGTTATAGCCTCCACCTGCACCCAAACCGACATGTAGCCACAAACTGTGCATTTGCGGTTGTGCTGTTGCCCGCAACTGGTTCACCAAGCACGCGCACGAAAATGCATGGCGTCGGGTGAAGCCGGTCACAGAAAAGACACGCAGCAGATGCCTACCAGGGTTGGGGGGGGATGGGCATGGCATGGGACAATCAAGAAGGTCAGAAGGTCCTTGACACCGAGACCATCCCACCAATATCCGTGACGATCAACATCATCGAGAAATATCAGACCATCCGCGCCTCGGTCAGGCCAGAAGTTTGGGCGGCTAGTTCGGCCTAGGCAGAAGCTAATTTACGATCCGTGGCGGCGGCACACTACATGACGCGGGTGGTGACGCAGACCGATTGTGGCTTGTCTGGTTGTGATGGCATGTACGCTGTGCCTATACGGCAGGTGGCCGAGCTGGTAGTAGGTGTTACAGCGAGCCCCAGACCCCAAGGGAATACCCCAGGGTGTGTATGTATGTGTGTGTATGTGTGTGTATGTGTGTGTATGTGTGTGTATGTGTGTGTAGCAACCACAGTTCGTGTAGCATTGTCGCACCATAGCGAGCTCTGGTGAATCCGTTAACTACAGCAGTAAGGCGCCCCCAATTTCCAGTCGGAGAGCATCGCAGGTGTAAAGGTACCAATAGATGTTTCTCAAGCTGCCCACTGCTGCTTCGCTCTGGGGACTTTCCAGAGATCGCCATGCAGATGTCCGCGAGGATGCTACCCAGCGTGAAAAACGTGGTGCGCTCTTACCCCTGGGTTGTCTGCCAGGTTGCTGCCGCCGCTGCCGGCTTGCCGCCGGTGCTGTTGGCTTGCTGCTGCTAGCCTGGTGCTGCTGCTGGCCTGCTGCTGCTGCTAAGCTGGTGCTGGTGCTGCTAAGCTGGTGCTGCCGTTAACCTGCTGCTGCTGCTGCTAGCCTGGTGCTGGTGCTAGCCTGTTGCTGCTGCCCCAAGCCTGGTGGTGGTGCTGCTAGCCTTCTGCTGCTGCCGCTAACCTGCTGCTGCTGCTAGCCTAGTGGTGGTAGTGGTGCTGCTGGCCTGCTGCTGCTGTTGCCGCTAGCTTGCTGTTGTGATTACAGTTGGTAATAAGAAGGGAATTATTGTGGCTGCATGCTGCCTACGTTGGTGCCCTGGATGCGACGCAACTGAGCTTTTGATGTAAGACGTTAAATATAATCAGATGCATCTTGGATCATGTGTTGCCACCCAACTGCCTCCTGCTGCAGGGTTCTTCAGGGCAAATTTTATCCAACAGGAAAACCCAGCGATTCAGGTAGGAAAGGGAAGGAACGTAGCTCGAGCCTACCTGAGAAGAATTGCAAACTCAATAAGAGAATATTCACCTGACGGATAGAGACAAGAAGACACGTGCATCGTGTGCTGAAGTGTCGCCTTACGGTCCTTCACAGCCAGGCACAGCTGTCTTAACCGCCTACACGAACCTTAGCCTTGGTTGTCTATTGAAAGCGTGCCTGTAATTCAATTGTGGGCGTGTCTGCGTCTATCCACATCACAATAGTATCACGACACTATGGTGGATGCGCCGTAGCTCGAGTCTCAAAAGGTTGAGATAGGCAGAAGCTAAAGATACCTCCTGTGCTCAAATTAACGAGGTACAAGTGTCAAGCTGGCGGAATGAAACTTTTTACTGTGTCATGACTAAGTGGCCTCTCTGCTTTAAGCCGTACTTCACGTGAAGTCATATGGACCATTCATGTTACATGTCATTGTTTCTTAAAAAATCACCTTCGTTATGATAGCTTTAGCATTATCCCTAACATATAAACGTAGCCGATTGTCTGTATCCTGCTGAAAAGGTCTCACATTATGCAGCATGAAGTAAATTAGCTCTTTGAGGAAATGGTTTTGATATTTGATGTGTAATTGGGAAGGCACTGCACCTGTGCCATACACATGCGCCTAGTGGGTTTCCTAAATCCTGGATTACTGGGTGCAGCCTAACATGGAACCTGTAACAACCGCATCAGATAACAGCAGTATCAATAGCTCACCGTCTAACGCTGATTTGGTAGCAGAGTATCTCGGCTAAGCACTTGCCGGCCTTTCGACGGTACCTATGTCGACTTATTTTGCCCTTTAATTGCGGAGTCAAGATTGCTATCCCAGGTCAAGGTAAGATCAGAAATGGCTTATGTGATTTCGTGCATGTTTGGCTTCATATCCTGTCCTCCCGCCGACCTGCAGTGCGAATAAGGGCGCCGTTTTCCACGTGCAGCAATCGAACCATGCAGAGCTAAGATAACTGGTTCGTCGTGTGGTGTACTGATGATGTTTGGAAGACACCGCTCGTCAGTTATAGTGCTCGGGGTTCCTGCGGGCACAGAGCCTACCTTGCCCCCCTCTCCCGAAAAGTCCAAGAAGGATGGCGCGCACAGCCTGTCATCGTCCATAAAGAAAAAAATTCTTTCGGGCTTTGGCAAATTGAAGAGTCTGAAGGGTGCGTGCATTCCTCGGTTCGGAAGAGGAGCCGTAACTTTTCCTGAGCTTGGCCTGCGAAAATGCAGGCGCGTACAAGGACTCCAGCAAGCAAGGTTCTACGACAAAAGCCACCCATGGCCTTTTAGGCCTGGACGAGGATCAAGAGTTGCGCTGCGCGCCATATCCCTCGCTTCAGTCTTTGGTCACTTGCCCTGGTGCTGGCGCCAGCGTTGGCGCGCTCCTAAGACACTGCCAGCTGCGATCCAATTCCCCGAAGAACTATATCGGTACGCCTTGCATGGCTAGATAATTGATGCTCAGCACATAAATTTACTGCTGCTTTGGAGTAGTCTGCCGTTTCGGGGGAAGGATAGCAGTAGGACCAGGCTACAAATGAGAGCCTAAGCGAGGAGGTGGTGCTTAGCGGCAACTGATTATATACAACACGTGACTGCCATCAACGAGACTTTCCCAAGAACCAACCGAGCAAAAGATTGCAAAGTGTCAGATGCCCTTTATGTCGCGGCCCTCCTTCGATCCTTCGCCCAAGCCATTTTTTGTACCTTTTCCTATCGCGATCTGCGACTGCCGCACCCTCGAAACAGCGTCCACATAATACGAGTTGCCCAAAAGGATCGTGCACATGGACATGCAGACAACCCTATGTTTCCATTTTTTTTCTTTTTTTCCAAACCACAACCACCAAAAACCTGAAAAGTCAAGACACAGCTATAGCCACCATTTGTGACATGGAAGGCACGAAAATCCGCGCTTTCCCGCGCCTTGGTCGCACGTTCAGGCAGGATGATTGCCCCAGCCCGACCGCCGCGGCACCACCACAAATACCGCTCCGTCTCTTCCCGTCCCCCTCAGCACATTTCCCATCATCGATCCATCCACCACTCTCCACTCCGATGCACTCTCTTGCTGCCCGTGTTGTGTTCTTCTGCCTACCCCCACCGCCCTCTTGGCATCACCAGTCAGCACCAATCAATGCAGGTTTGCATGGCCCTAGATTATCTGATGTGTGTATGTATGTATGCATGTATGTATGCATGTATGTATATATGTATGTATGTATGTATATAAGTATATTAGATATGTATTTATTTATCCGTTTCCCTTTCATTCCGCCTGTCGTACCGCGAAGGTGCTGTTCCCATCGTCTCCTTGGAGGATGTCCACCTTGCGCTGTACGGCACAGAGCACGGCGTCCTTGTACTGCAAGTGGGAGAAGAATCTCCAGAGGAGGGCGGCGATGCGGCTCTAAACAACAACAGCATCAAGCACTGCAGCAGCGAACTGCCCAAGGCGGTACGGCAGCGCATTACCTCACAGAGCGCCATCACTCTGCTACGCGCTACCAGCAGCGGCAGCGGCGGCGCACGTCAGCCCAGCTTTACCAGGGCCCTATGTAAAGCCCGGCGGCAGTCCACGGAAGGCCTTTCGGCTCGCAACGGCGGCGCTGGCGGTGGCGGCGCCGCCGCCGCCAACGGCTACATTGCCTCGTCACTCCGCGGCGCCGATGCAGCATGGACGTGGACGGGGCTCGCGGCTCCCGAGGCAGTGGTCAACGGTGGCGACGACCCGGAGCCGCCGCAGTCTGCTGCGGTGGCGGCGCCGCAGCTCCCAGCGATGTGGTACACAGCCGAGGTGACGTCAGCGACGTTGAGTCCTCCACAGCTTGCTTCCGTACGATGTGGTACGAAACTGAAATCGGTATCGGCGGCAGCGGCGACGTCTGCTTGCGGAGGCGCGGCGACGTCCCCGGCTGCCGCCACCGGCGCTGCCGCCGCCGTAGCGCACAACCCAGCCCGTTGGAGCGTTAGCGCATTGCCAGCAGTCCTACTACCGACCCATGGGTCCTCCGCGCCAGCGTCAGCGTTGGCGGCCGCAAATGCATTTGCAGACAGAGAAGACGACGGTGTCGTAGTCGGTGGCGACGCCGATGACGCCATCGTCGGGGAACTGGACGAGGTGGACGTCAGTACGGAGCCAGCTGCCGCCGCCGCCGCCGCAGCTGCGGCGGTGACGGGGTCGCGGAGTACGTTGTTGCTTCCGTTTCAATCAAGGCCACAACCCCATCCCCACCCTTCGCATCATGCACACCTGCACCGTCACTACTTGTCTTCAAGCCACAGACCTCCCGCCGCTGGCGGTGTTATAAGGAACCTAACGACTCTGTACGACGGCGGCGGCGGCAGCGCTTTGTCCATTGACGGCACTGCCGCTTCCTGGCCGTACGACACAAGAGCACAAGGGCACCCGATGATGGATGGGGTGCAGGTTTCGGAGGCTGCGGCCGCGGGCTGCGATGGAGCCTGCGGCGGCTTGCCGCCGTCACGGCTTGGTTCCAACGGCCGGCAGCTGTCGGACCGGTCCGCTGTTGCCGCTGCTATTAATCCCCAGGCGGCTTGTGGCGGCGGCGGCAGCAGCCACAGCGGCAGCGTTACCGGCTACCAGGCAATGGATCCGTGTGTTTTGCCGATATCCCAGTTCAGTTCAGGGCTCCAAATCGGTTCGATTGCGGAGGCCGCTCGCGGCGGCGGTGGTGCCGCCGCCGGTGTCTGTACACCCGTACGCGGTGCATCAGCAGCGGCAAGCTTTGCCGGGCCCTGGTACGGCTCTGCCGTACAGCCGCCAGGTCCGCGGACGGATCTCGCCGCTGGCGGTGGTGTGAATCCCGATGCCGGCGGCAGCGGCCGAGTCGTGCTAGGGTTGGCGGTTAGTCCACAGGCGACGGCGGGAGCGGCAGATGCTAGGGGTGGCTCGGATTCCGTACCTTGCGTGCCGTATGGCATGACGTTGACTGCGCCGTCAGCGTCATCGGCGTCGACTAGCCCGAAGGCCGCCGCTGCCGAGACAGCTGCGGCCGCTGCCGCCATCGACGCCTCGGCTGGCAACAGCGGCGGCGCCAGTGGCGGCGAGACGGGCCTGGAGCCCATGTACGTCAGTACGGCAATGGAGGCTATTATGGGCACTGCACAACCAGGCCAGCTGCGTATGACTTTGTACGACCTCCTGAGCTATAACCCTAGCTTCCAGCTGATTTTGGAGGACATCATCCGTAACGCTCTGTCGGGTCGCGTTGTGGAGCATGAACAGCTCATGACCTGCCCAAGGCTGACGACGTCGCCGCCGCCGCTGTCTTCATTCTTGTCGTCGTCATCGCTTCAGCAGCAACCGTCTCAGCAGCTGCCGGCGGCGGCGGCGGCGGCGGTGGCGGCGGCGGCGGGCGCTGCCGGCAGCGGCGGCTTTTGCGTGGCTCGTCAGAGCTGCCCATCGTACGGCAGCAGCGTTACGGTCGCGTCTTACCACCCAAGTGCACCCAGCAGTAATCAAGGGTTGCACAACCATCCCGAACAGTATTGCCAGCAACAGCAGCAGGTGCTACTGTCCGGCATCCGTCATGCAAATCCGCTGGATGACTTTTTGTTGGTTCGCGTCACGGCCTGTTACCTAGACCATCGCCGTACATCTGCCGCCGCCGCCGTGCCGCCGCCGTCAGCACAGGCTACCGTAGCGCCCGCCTTGCCGGCCCTGTTCATGTCCTTTTCCCGGCCCCACAGGGAAGCAGTTGCGGCGGCGGCGGCGGCGGCGGCGACGACACCGACCGCCAGTTCCACGGCACCCGCCGCCGCGGCGGTGCCGTCAGGCAGCACGACCGCCAGCAACGACGTCCTTCTCTGCCTTCCCACGGCGGCGGCAGCGACCTATCCTGCGCCTCCGCCGCCGCCTCCGCCTCCGTCAGCGCATCATCGAGGATCGCCATTCAGTTGTTATAGCAGTATGTCTGTTCTTCGTACAACGCCAATGCACTCCGCCGGCGGCGGCGGCAGCGGCGGCGGCGGCGGCGGTGGCAGTAGCCAAAAGATGCCCAAGTCGTCCAGTCTGGGCTCGCGCCTCGGATCCCTGGGAAAACCCAGCTGGATGCGGTACGGCGGCAGCGGCGTCACAAGTATGGCTGGCCCCTGTACGGCATCACCGGGCCATTCTCCTAAGCCCGTGCCGGCCCTCGCCACACCCGCAGCTACTGCAGCTGGCGGTGGCGGCGGCGGCGGCGGCAGCGGCGGTGGCGGCAGCTACAGCCACCACGCCCATCGCCAAGCCCGAACCGACAACAGCAGCAGTGGTACGGCAAACGGCCGCGCCATTAACTCAGAGTGTCCAGATTTCGGTGAGGCTCCGATGTCGGTGTCGTACAGCGATGGCCTGACGACCTCACAGCTGCAGACGTCTGCCGTACCACCCCGGGCGCCAGCACAGCCGTCGCCGTCAGCGGCGGCGCTGGACGGGCTGTTTGTTCACATTCGGCGGGAGCAGATGCTCCTTGCCCATGCGCCGTTAGCTCTGACGGTTCTGTCGTTGGATGGGCGGGTTCTCTACCAGAACGGGAGGTAAGGGGAGGTGCGCTCGGAAAGGGGAATTCCGCACATGTAAATATTATATTATATCATACAGCTTCACTAGCTCATATTAGCGATCTTTATTTTGTTTTTTTTGTAATGCATCAATTTTTATCAATACATTTTAATAAATTAAAACATATGTTCGTACATATATTGGTGAGTGACGTCAACATCCAACCGCTGGATCAGCCCGCATTGCGACGGAAGATATGCTTTGTGCTACTGTTCATTGTTTTAAGTACTGTACGGAAGGTCGGAAGTACGGAAAGCTCGTGATTGGAGAGCGACATAAAGTGTTGTGCTGGGCGGGATGACCGTCGTAGAAAAAGTACGGGGAAATACCGTGCGAATGGGTGGCGTGTGTGCGTACGGCGTTCGTGTGCGTGTGCGTGTTTCACAAACGACGTTCATGTCAAACCCGCGCCGCCTCCGCTTCCACGTCCTCAGGTCTGTTGCCTATTTGGGCAATGCCGTCGGGCTGCCAGCGGCGCCTGGTTTGGGTCTGATGGATCCAGATCACGTGCTACATCGGATCTTTGCGTACGACCCGCCAGCGCTGGACAGTTTGTGGGATGCCGTACGAGCCGGCAAGACGTGGAGCGGTCTCGTCTGCATGCCGTCACACCTAGATCTCCGGGGCCTGCGGGACGCCGCCAGCGCCGCCGCCAAGTCCACGTCACCATGCGCCGGCCAACGCGCCCTCAGTGCGGCCGCCGACGCCACAGCTGCCGTCGTCCCCGAAAGCATGCCATGGAGCCAGGGGCTGTTGTACGGCGGCGGTGGCAGCGGTGGAGTCGGTGGCGGCGGCGCTGCCGATACGGACGTCGTGGGCTTGCTGCTACAGCAGCTGCAGCGGCACGGGAGCGGAACGGGCTTGCGGGTCGGTGGCGGCGCGACGGCGGCTACAGCTACGTGCGCCTCGGCGGCGGCGGTTGCTGTACCTGTCGGCTCTGGACGAGGGGTGGGGGAGAGGAGCACAGCTGTCGTTACCGCGGCCGCCGCTGGCTGTGGCAGCGGCGACAGCGGTGGCGGCGGCGGCGGGGGCTCCTGGGGAGTCGGCTGGGTATCGCATCTGCCGTCCGCCAGCTTGCCATCGCCACAGGCGCCGCCGGCCGAATGCAACGCCAGCGCCGCCGGTTCACTCTCTCCTGACGTGGTGGCCACTATTACAGGGCCGCCGCCGCCGCGAGCTACTGCAGCCACAGCCGGCGGCAGTAGCGGTGGCGGCTGCAACAACAGCGGCAGCCGCGGCAAACCCGTTATGAAGCTGCCGCGCAACGTCTCGGCACCCACCTTTCGCAGCGTTGCGAGCTCAAGTCGTCCTCTGCCGTCGGTACTGGAGGCGGAGGCAAGCTGCGGTGGCAGCGTTTGCGGCAGCGGAAGTGCCGCCGCCGTCAGCGTGGCGACCCTTCTGGCGCACCGTGCCAGCTGGAACGCCGACCAGACATTCCCAGCCCAAGCTGGAACGTCGCTGTACGGCAGCTCTCCGTTGACGATGCCGTCAAGGCAGCTATCCACTTCGGCGTCCGTCGGTAGCGGCGCAGCTGGCGGCGGCGGCGGCGGCAGTGCAGGACTGTTTGGTCCTTTGGGCCTGATCCACAGCCCTTCTTCAGCTCAGCTGTCGTACTGGGCCAACTCCCGCCGTACACTCATTCACAGGTCAAACAGCCTGGCGCAGACGGAGTACGCCCTGGACGGTAGCTACCGCGCCATGCGGATTGCGGCGTCGGCGGCGTCTCAGGGCCTTCTAGGCCAGGGGCCTACTACTGCTTTCGCTGGCGGCGGCGGCGGGTGGTCGTACGGCAGCGCTGACGGCCTTCAGTGCTGCAGCCCCCGCGGCTTGGATGCGTCCCTCGCGGATCAGTTGTCGGGTCCCAAGTTTGTGCCGCCCCTGGTAGCTAGTACGGCAGCGGCAGCGGCGCCAGCAGCGACGGCCGCGCGGAGAGTCCTAAGCGCCAGCGTGACGAGCGTGCGAGCTTCATGCGGCGGCGGCGGCGGCGGCGGTGGCGGCGGCCTCCGAGGATTCTCTGTGTCGAGCGGTGCTACGACCAGTTTAGCGACGGCGGGAGAGGAGCTCGCGCATACCGAGGCGGCGGCGGCGGCGCCGTCACCGCTTCTGCCCAGTGCATCGCCGCCGTACGTTAGCAACTGCTGCTGGCATGAGGTTCAAGCAAACCTGGTTCTGGATCCGGTTTCAACGGAATGGAATCTGGTGCTCGCATTCCATGACGTCACGTCGTACGTGCAGGCTGAGCTGGAGGTTAGACAGGTCTTAGATGCTGAGGTGAGAGAGCTTTGTTGTGCAGTCACAAATGAAAATGTATAAATGTTATTGCATCCGTTAGGATTTGAATGGTGTACCTTCCAGCTTTGCGGAACGAAATTCAAAACGAACTGTGTGGCCTTTGATCCCATTTTCTTTTGGGCCGTGCTCTCATCGGCTCACCGTCCCTGGACCTGGATCTGGATCTCGATGCTTCATGGATGGTACGACGGCGGGTTCGCCACCACCCGCCGTACAGCACCGCATCCTTGAAGAAGTCTTTCCGAGACACGTGCTGGAGGTGATGACGTCAGACAAGCGCCGTACATCGGCTTTTGGCGGCGGCGGCGGCGGATGTCCCTCCCTGGTGCGCACTTCCTCCTTGTCATCGACTTACACTGTCAGCGGCGGTGCCGCCGCCACCGCCGGCAGGCAGCTGTCGTGTGGCGGACGTGGCGTGGGCCAGCCGGCACCTGCGCTAGCCGGCGGCGACGACGCAGCCGCTGCCGCGCCGATGGCGACGGTCTTTGGGCGCAGCTCGGCGCCAATCCTGTGCTCGCCAAGGAGCCCTGCCCGGGCGGCGGCGGCAGCGGCGGCGGCGGCGGTGGCGGCGATACCTGACGGCCCTAGCGGTGGCGGCAGCGACGTTAGCGACGTCGGGGCTGTCGTGCCTCATAGCCTGGCACACGATTTGTTCTCGCCGCCGTCGTCAACCACTGACGGCAATGCCGCCGCCACCGACCCCGCCATCGCAACACGCCGTATTCAGCCGTACCTCGCCGCAATGTCTGGCCGCAGCGCCATCGCCGCCTCGGCCGCCGCTGCTGCCGCCGCAGCCACCAACGGCTGCAGTGGAGAGCGCCGCAGCATCAGCACGAATTTAGGCGCGTCTTGTAGCCTGGCGTCGTATAACCACAGCACCTGCACAGCCCATGG